CACCCCACCCGCAGTTCTCTGAGAGAATGTAAACTTTAGCCACATTCATCGTGAAACTTGGTAACTAGCACATTATTAGGAAAGGCGATTTGCAAAATTCATTAAAAAAAACGTATACTCACTTCTTCTGGAGGTGAAGCTGGATCACGAATGATTTGTGCGAACATAGACTCATTTAGGTAGGTCGGGGGTGCATTCCCTTCAAAAACAAACGTAATCCACTGCGAGTTCAGCGCCTCAGATGTCGGGAGTAAATGACGACTGCTATGTTCATTATTACATCCAACAACAAAACACCTCAATCGCTTAGGAGTTATTCTTGTCTACCCCTGCTCCGGTGTTGAAACAATGGCGGACTGATGACAGCTCACTCAGGGCGGGTCTAAGGTAAAACGCCAGTGTCAATCAACAATCGTGGGAGCGGCCTTGCCCAGTGTGACGTCACACTGGCAGGAATCTGAGAACGGCTTGATATGAGACAGGGGTTTGGATTTATTGAGATTTAAGAGATTTTTTTATCATTATAGCGTGGTTGTGTACACGCACTGCCAAGACACATTTCAGTTCAAACAACATGTAAAAGTGAATTTTGCATCTGATGACCCCTTTAATAAAAGCCAGTTGTTTAAGGTAACCCTTTAGATTAGGGAACACATTCACTATTAACTATATAAAGTTAAATTATAGAAAGAGTTTTCCCTCAATAGGTATGGGGTAGGATTAAGGGATGTAGAATATGGTCAGAATAAAGAATTAATATGTGCTTTAGTACTAATAAACAGCCAATATGTAATATTCATGCTAGTAAGCAACTAGTTGATTGTGAGAATTGGTCCTTAAAATAAAGTGTTACCAAAAAAATGCACTTTAAAGGTTGCATTTAAAAATTAGTTATTAATTTATTGTTATATTTAACATTTAAATGTTAAGAACTGTTAAAACTAGTCCTCCATAAACTCCCACACAGCCTGAAACAGCAACATTACAGTAATGGTGCGAGTTTAGGGCAGGACTAACTGGTTGTTTGATAGTTGGCAGATGGATGTGATTAAATTTACTTCTACTTTGAATAGTTAATAACAAACAAGTTAGGTCACTGAAACATTAGCATATCATTGAAAAATGTTTTCAGGATGTCGTTACACAGCACATTTTGTGTGTAACATACTTTATTAAATGAATCTAGAAAAAGTAGTTAAAAGTGGTAAAAGTGTTTTGAGGCTATATGTAAAACCACTGCTGTAAGTTTTCTTAAAGGGGTCATATGATGCTGCTAAAAAGAACATTATTTTGTGTATTTGGTGTAATGAAATGTGTTTATGCGGTTTAAAGTTAAAAAAACACATTATTTTCCACATACTGTACATTATTGTTTCTCCTCTATGCCCCGCCTTTTTGAAACGCGTCGATTTTTACAAAACTAATCGGTCTGAAAAGCGAGGTGTGCTCTGATTGGCCAACTATCCAGTGCGTTGTGATTGGCCGAATACATCAAGCGTGAGACGGAAATGTTACGCCCCTACCATACTGTATTTCCGTATGTCCCGGCGCGACGAGACAAAAACATTAAAACCCATTACAAACGAAGCATTTGTTGCATCCAGTGGGGACATAATTACAGATTATAATGACTTATACTGTATTTTTACGCGTTGTGTTGCAT